TTCGTATTCTAATAGGCTCGTATCTCACACCCGTAACACTGTGTATGAAGGTTTGTGCTGTATACTGGGTTGTATTTCATGGTGAGGTATTGTATGATGTATTAAGTGTAGAAATTAAGTTTTTTGATTGGTGTGTGGGAGGGGGGGGAGTTGGTGGTGGTAGAGGTGATAGTGGTAGTTGTGGTGATGGTGGGGGTGATAGGTGTTGGTGGTCGTTGCTCAAAGAGAAGGAATGGGGGAGTGAGGGAGGAAATGAGGGAGACCTTGGAAGTAGAAGTTGGGGTAGCAAAAAGATGGAAGGGCCACTGGACGGTGTAAATGAGGGAAGAGGAAGAGTGAAAGGGAGTATGAGCGAAGAAAGAGCAGCAGGAAGAGGAGGACGGGCAGTTGAAAAAAGGTCAATAAACAAGAAGAGATCAATAAAGAGGAAGAAGAAGATGACGAAGAAGCAGCAGCAGCAGCAGCAGAAAAAGATCAATAAGCAGCAGGAGGAAGAGCAGGATGAGGAGGAGGAGGAAGGAAAGGCAATAACAGCAGGACCCGGGTTTATGCGACGCTGTTGGTGTTTGGATGTGACGTAGGTATGACCTTGTGTTGAGTCACCAGGGTCGAACCTCCTCCCCTCCCTGCCTTACCTCGGTCACCGGCCGCCCCACACACAGCCCCTCTAGAAAAGGCGATTTATAAAAGCTGTTTCGATATAAAAGTCATTTCTACAAAATTTACACAAAAAAGGTTGATTCGTGAGGTCGGGCGGAAGAAACAACTGCCTTTTGTTTTGAGTAATTTATTATTTATGTATTTGTGTATTTATTTATTTGTTTAATGTTTTTGCTGGTGATGATGGAATTATTATTTATTATTTTGATTATTGTTATTTAAATTTAGGTGTGTGTGTGGGTGGGGGCGGGCTGTGATATCTGTACATGGTGTGTGTGGTATGTGTACATGTGTGTATGTGTGAGGAAAGTGTTTATGGTGTGTTGTGTGTGTGAGGTAGGTGTACATTTCCTGTGTGTGTGTGTGAGAGGTAGGTGTACATGTCGTGTATGATGTATTGATATTATTCACGGTGTAGGAGTCGTGTGCGTGTTCACCCCCCTCCTCACCCACCCGCCAGTCGTTGTGTTAACCAAGTCTAACGTGATTATTGGTGTGTGTGTGTGTGTGTGTGTGTGTGTGTGTGTGTGTGTGTGTGTGTGTGTGTGCGCGCTACCTGGCCTTACACACACACACACACCAGGTAGGACAGGTATATCTCCGCCTCCCTTGTAGTCAAGATGTTTGTGAACTAATTGCGTTTTTAGGATCACCGGAAGATTAAGTACCCTAGGTTAGGTTATGTAAAGGTGAGGGTAGGTTAGGTTACAACAAGCTGGTGGGAATGTGGTTGTATAACTAGTACTGGTAAAGGATATTGAATACCTGCTTCTCTTTGGTGAGTCGAACCCGTGACCTTTTCTATAAGGATTCGAACCCGGGATTTTTTCTATTAGGCTTCGAACCCGGGACCTCCTCTATGGAGGCCAGTAGAGTTCTACAACCACACACTACGCGCGACTCTCTCTAATGATAAAAATAAAAATACTTTAGACAATCATATTAACAATAATAATAACAATAATGGCGATATTAATAATTAGTCATAATAACAAAGGCAGTAATGATAAGTTACATTAATAATAATTTTACTGTATACACGCAACACAGGAGGCTACAATTGCTCTATTTACTGTAATTGTTTCAGACAAAAATACAGGAAAATAACGCAAGAATTTAACACTAGAGAACGAGTTTATAAAGACATTTAATAACGCAATTATAAGGTGGAGAATATGACGAAATAATAACGTTAATTTGTCGTGTGGTTTTTGGGAATCTTGGTGTATTTCAGAAGTCCTTTTGACTCGTCTGTTAGGTATACTTACACATACACTGGCGTCATCTTTTGGCTATGTGTAGGAGCCAATCTAAACAAACGTCAATATATATATATATATATATATATATATATATATATATCAGAAAAGCTTCCACCATTCCGCCCACTCACCCAAACTCTCACACACACTTTGGGACACCCCATCGCTGCTCCTGTTCTAGATACTTCCACTTGCTGTGTTGTGACGAGCTACACTCAATAGTTTGCCACAACCACCACCTACGAGGGCATCAGGGAGGACTCATGCCTTTGCTGTCAATATTCCATCATGCAGGAACCACCGCCTGCTGGAATTCATTCATTCCTCGAACTATCACTTTCTAGAGTCTAGAACTAACTTTCTACAATAGGGTGTTCATGGTGTTTTATGAGCTTCATCAGTTCAAAGTATTCTGATTTAGATATCATTAGTCTTGAGCAAGGTGAAGGCTTACGTGATTAGCACAATAGACGTATGACATTTGTTGGATCCCCCACCTCTCTCTCTCTCTCACATTGGGCAGAAGGACTATTGTACCATTATCAGTCTTTCACACTTCCTGATGACCCACTGTGTTACCTTGCGACATAACGTGTGTGTGTGTGTGTTATACTTTTGCTTGCGTGTGTTTGAAGGCTGTATACACAGTGAATGTAGATGTGTGGGCGGCGGTGTAGGTGTGTAGATGGTGGAATGGCAGCGGCCGGCGGGAGACAATGGGTGAGAGGGAGTAGCACTGTTTTGTTTCAAGTGTCACAGCCATTGTCATGTTCCACATTCTCACTTCCCATTTACATCCTCGTACGTGGTGGTGGTGGGTGGCAGGTGGTCACTTTTACCTGTGAAGTTATTTCGTAAAATGAATAATAAATATGAATATCAGAGTACAGTAACTATATGTAACCTTGACCTTCAACACTGGCGCTAAGTTACCTCGACTATTGACACACGGTAACAGGATTTGCCAAACATACCCTGAAAATCTCTCATGTTAAATATATATTAGACTGATATGATGCACGATCAATTTTATGGCGCTTAACACCCCAGAAAATACATTAATATTCATATTACATCAATTTAATTCCAACAAAGAAATGTGGAAAGTTTATACCATAGATACTGTAGTGGACGTCTCCCCTACAACTGCCTACAACTGCGTAGCCACAGCCACCACCTGTTACCGCCTTCCCTAGCAACCCACCAGATGCGCCGCCGTATCCTAGCAACGAAACTGGGAACCAGCGACTTCTCGGGTTTTCCCAACATGAATCATAGCGGCTGCTGGGTATATAAGCTCTGTCTCTCCATTGAGATTCATTCTGACCATTCTTCTTGAACAAGCAACACCTCCTCCGCCGCTGCCTGGCTGCCCTAGCCTCTCCTCCGCCTGCCTGGCGGTCCTCGCTCCCGCCAGCGAGCATGGCAACCCACCAGCTGTCCTTCTCTGAGCTTCCTCACCAACCAACTCTCATTCTGCCCATCTTCCTGAACAAGCAACACCTCCTCCAGCAAGCTCCACGCTGGCCCCTCACCACACGGCACCTCCAGCACCAGACTGTCTATCATATAACTTATATTATATAAGAAAACCACATTAGAGTTTCCTTCCATCCTGAGTGCTAGACAACATTAATATCTCGATACCCCTACAATACCATCACATTGTTGGTTTTGTCGAGACTTTCCTGACCCCTAAAAAAATAGTGATAAATGTTAACTCATATCACTACATAGATCATATTTACATGAAAATACTAAAGACTTACCATACTGTATATACCCTGTATATAAAGTTTTTCAAATGCCCTACTCTATAAACCGTTATGGCCTTAAGCATTAGACAAATTTTACACATTTCACTACACATTAAATTTACGTTCCTTATCTCTTTACTAATTTGATATATCAACAATGACTCTAAGTAATTGTTCATTTCTTACGTATGTCTAGTGTTGTGATTATCGTTTATAGTCATTGATACGAAACTTTTAATCATTATTTTTTCGTTAAAGCCAAATGTCAGATTTTGTCTCGATGGATCTACTTAACGCTGGGCAATCCACACCTTAATAGATTATGTAAATGTGTATTGTCTATGGTATTAGCTTATATGTGTCGGCATTAATGTGAATGTTATATGTTGATGTGGCAGTGTAGGTGGATAGTGTACCGGGTATTTATTATGGGTGGTAACTTAATGGATATTGTGGATGGTGACAGTATGAACTGGATAGTGTTTGTGTGGATGGTGACTGAGTAAATAGTGTGTGCATGACCCCACCTAAAGCTGCTGTTTTTAAGTCGCAGGTTTAAGTCAGTTTTGTACAGTGCTGTACCCATTCTGAGGTCAATATGAATACAGTGAGAGCTTGTATTTGTGTCAGGGAAGTTATTTGTTTAGTTGTACAGTATGAGATATTGTATTTCACTTTACTTCAGTTTCTCTGCAGTTATGGTGAGCATTTTTACCACGGGAGATATTGGCTGGGTGAATCTTTTTTATAAAGAAAATTATTCAATTAAATTTTTCTTCACGGCAGGAAATGATGACTGTGTGTGTGTACGTGTGCATGTGTGTGGGTGGGTGTGTACACGTGTGTGTGTGTGTGTGTGTTTTAGATTCAGTTTTGGATATACAGGTACTGTACTTGGTCAGAGATTTGTTCTTGGTAAGATTTTGACTGAAATTTCTTTTGTTTGGTCACTGCCCTTGTATGAGAATTTTGGGGTGACCACAAAAATGAGACTTATGGAGACCCAAGAAGCAGAAAAAATATAAAGTTTCTTCATGGCTGCCTCCACCGTGGCATTTTGAGGGGCAGAACTGGGAGGGTAACTGATACACAATAGTTCTTTAACTTGTGGTTAGAATTTACATCTACCCTATGATCTCACTGAATAAAATAACACTTACTAAGGGGTCACAATTTTAGGGAATTTAAAATATTCAATTCCTCCTGATACAGTATTGCAGTTTATGTAAGGGTAAGAGCTCCCCTTACTGCCCAAGATCCCAGTATACCAACCCCTCTTTTGAATATTTACCACACATGCTGATGTTTGTTTGTGTTGCAGGGAGATGCGAGGGGTCCAGCCAGCCATCGTGTATGGGAGGACATGTGAGGAGCTACCATCTCGTGCCCTGCGTTCACCACGTTCACACGTCTTGGCGGCGTTCACTGGGCCGGGAGGTGGCCTCACATCTGTCAACCGAGGAGGACACCCACCCCTGCAGCGAGATGAAGCCGACCTAGACTACATAGATGCTGATGACGCCACATCTGACGCTCAACCTAATGCCTACGTCACGTCTCAGAAACCTCCCCCACGTAAGACGCCTTATGCAGACATAGCCGCATACTTCCGCAAACGAGATCCTAAATCGCCTGTCCATAAAAAATCCTGTGGTGGTGTTAGTGAGGGACGCAGTATGGACTCGCTAGACTGTGAGGCTCCTTCGTGGAGAGGGGAAGCGCCGTCCCCACTCTCCCCAAACCCTGGTCGAGCCCCCCCGGCTGCCTTCCTCCAGTTTGGTGATGGACCCCTCAACTATGGCCTTACTCTCCCCCCAGATGGTGGTGGTTCAAATAATGGTTGTGCTAATGGGAATAATAGTGGTGGTGTTGGTGCTAGTAGAAATAGTTGTAGTAGTGGTTATGAGAGAAATGATAGCGATGTTGTTGTTAATAATGTTGAAAGTAATGGAGATGTAATGCAGGACAGTAGTTACGATGCAGGTGGCTGGTCTAGTAGTGGCAGCGCAGGCAGGAGTATAAACACGGACAATATGGGCATGGTAGAAGCCGTACTAGTTAGCTGCAGGGATGAAGGTGGAGGAACAGTCAACAAACTCATGATGCAGCCCACCATGTGCCCGACACTGGATGATAACCTTAATCCTCTCATCATGGTGGAAACTCCTCCTGCGCAGGTTACCAATGTTATTTTAGATAACCAGACATATGAATCTGACACCCAGAGCACCCCCACCCAGACAGACAATGCAGACAGAGCATGTGAGAACGGAAACAACAATCCCAACGTCAACCCTCCTGACGACAGCATCCCCTTAGAAGTCAACGAGGGTGGTCTGGCCAACCAACGGGCCAAGTTCCTCACTCTGGATTTGGTGGAAGCTGGGGCAATGGCAGGTCAGTCTGCCTGGCTCCACCTGTCAACTGACATTTACCTTAATCTGCACTTTCGTGTCTTGGACGCATGCCTGTAAAGCACTGATGTTGTTGTTCAGACAACCTGTCATCATACTGAGAATTAGAGTTAGCCACTTGAACACGAGAGCATGACTTTACCATGTGTCGAAGCCACCTGCAGACGGTGCCCTCATTAACCCAGCATGTCATACCTTGCGTACTTTTGTAAGTCAGACCCACATTAAAAGGTAGAAGTTTATATTTCAATCTTGTACTTATAGTTAAAGAAGATCGAAAGTATATTGTTGAAATATAAGTCCATCTTTAAGTTGGCATTTGATTTACAGACATGATATTCACACTACAGTACTGTGAATCCTTCCAGGTGCTCTGAGTACCATTGTATGTTAGGATTAGGTGTAAATATAGGTATATAGTATAGATCTCACTAGTAATAAGAGTTCGTACTTATAAATTAATCCAATTAATTTTAAACAATATTAAATTTTCTCAACTGATTTAATTTAAGATAAAAAATAATGTCTGAAGTCCCAAGTCAGTTATGTTATTAAAGCATGTCAGAATAAACACAAAGTGCTTTTAATACACTAACTGCTCTGACATCTTTCTCATTTCTTGTATCAAACCTGGAAGATTTTTAGTGTATTTTTCAGCTAAAAGTTTTCCACTAACATTCACTTGTGATGTCAGTCTTCCAAGGATTCTTATAAACTCTTGTCTTACATTCTTTACGCTGTATATCCATCACCCCTGATGATCATCTTTCATCAATTGATCAACATTTTGTATTGATTAATCATATTTGTGTATGTTCAGGATACAGTATATGGCCCTGAGTCATTATTCTCAAAGGTTTTCTTGTACAGTACTGTATAGTATAATATTTCAACTCCTAACTGGAACAGTGAGAATCAATGTACAGCACTTAATTGATTGACCCGAGTCATAGATAACAAAAATTCCACTGAGATGCATTTTCTCGTTCCAAATTGGGGTGAAAAAATGACATGTGGTATAGCACAGAACTCTCAGAATCATGGCCCAGGATGTTCAGGTGCAAGAATACCCGATGCAGTGTAGGAGACCTCATCCACTTCTGTAAAATGGTGTTTGGCCTAACTCTATCTTCTTTATCCCAGTATTTTATCTCCAAAGCATTTATTTGTTTTACAGTACACCAACAATTTCATATCATTATTTTAATTTCATAGCATTTTAGTTTTTCCCTTTGCTCACAATGCTGTTTTATTAATTTGCTCTCATGAGGTATTTTTTTGTTTTCAGTTTGGCCTTCTCCCCACCGTCACATTATTATTAGTACTGTAGTAGTATCTGTAGTATTTATTTACTGATTTTTTTCAAGTTAGCTCACCTTACTTAGCACAGCATTTCCTTTCATGACATTATCTATAGTTATGTTTACTCCTCACGCATTGTTCGTACCCACTTAAGAATGCCTGCCAAAACGTGCTTAGCATCGACTGCACACGAACCCACTGTGTTATGTCTCTCCATTGGTCAGCACTTGGTATGAAAACACTGAGGCACTTGTCTGAAATCATGTCTAAATTTTTCTGTGTATGTACAGTATAGTATAAAGGTTTGTAAAAGTATGCATGCTGACTTTCTGTACAGTACTATACAGTATAGTATTTCACTTCCCTTGTGATGTATATATGGGAGTGACTCACCTGTGCACCTGTAGTTAATTATGTATGTGAAAACAAGTTATTTAGTGGATCATAAATAAAATAAATGATTGATTACTATCATAAGTTAGTTTCTAGATCAGAAAATGCTTTTATTATTATTATTATTATTATTATTATTATCATCATTATATTTATGTGTGCCTTCCAAGTATCCAACATGACATGATATGATAGAACTCTAGATAGCAATTAGTCTTGATGTAGTACAGTAGTAGTAATATATATTAGACAGCTAGACACTTGCTTATTTGAAATTTCCTTTAAATATACAAAATGCACCTTAAAATAAGTAATCCTACATAAAGACTGCATTCCAATCTGTAGAAAACCATTCCATACCCTGGCCTGTGGAGGAACTTTACTCCCAATTGACTTGCGTGAATGTGCAACAGAAATTCCCTCTTGGCCAAAACCACGATTGTATGACCCCCATGTCTTTAGACGACACAGTACCTATTGTCGGGTTGTCAGGGGCTCGGTGGTTTAAGCTGGCTTGAGTCGTGCATTATACAGTTTACGATTTCGGTTTTGTGTTGAACCTGATCATTGTTTAGTGTATGAATCATGTTGTGGGTGTGTGTGTGTGTTGATTATTGGCGGATGTATGAGTGAAAGTGTTAGTGAGTGTTTAGATGGATATTTGATTGATTGTGGATGAATTTATGGGTGGGTGTATAGAATGGTGTACTTTATGGATGTTTGTGTGGATAGGTGTCTTGAGTGAGTGTACTGTATAGGTGTTTGGATGATTGCCTGGATGGCTTGGATGAGTGTATATGTGTGTGTGTGTGTGTGTTAAGTCTAGTTATAATGTGTTAAACAGCAGCATAGTCCAGGTATCTCAAGTTAAGGATGCAGTCATAAAGGTTCTCTATAGCTGCCGTCTTTTCTCAGTCATCCACTCATGTTACAAAAATTCATAGTACAGTACTGTCACTGTTTTTATAAGTACAGTACGGTAACTTGAAACGAATAGGTCTTAAGTGAACTCTAATGATAGTTTAATGAATCTATTAATCATTGTATGAATCACAACCAAAAACTTTACTAACTTTTTTCTAATTCAACTTTGATATTTATTATTCTCTCAATTAGTCCCCGACCCAGATTTAAAGAGGAGTGAGAAGGAGGAGATCGCTGGCCTCCTTAACTGGAATCGACCTCACAAACGAGCATACGGTCTGTCGACGACTCTCTATGAACGGCATCCTGTTACGAGCGAGCGAGCTGGTAAGGAGTCTGTCGACGTGTAATGAAAACTTCTACATTTATTCAATTCCAGATCATTGTACTTTAAAATTCTAGATATTTCACATTACCATTTTGTGAACATTGTAAGATTCAGCTTCTGTTGGAATGAGTCTTGCCTTTATCTCTGTAGACTGATGTGTGTTTAGTTTTAATTCCTATGTTGATATATCTAGTCACTATCAGATATCTTGCCAATGCTTCCTTTTTAACAGTCTTCCAGAATGTCTCGGATATTCTAAAACATTACACTCCCTCCAAAAGAGACCTGATCTAACAGTCCTCAAAGTGTTAAAAATTCTTATCTGTACTGCTACTGTGATCTGTACGTCGATACTATGTTTAACATCACAAATTTTTTCATAAATTACCACGCTGTTTTTGGATGGCTCAGAGAAAAAGAAAATCTCTCCATAAGATTGTCTTGAGGAATCTCCATAAACTTATCTTGGTTTGTCTTCATCTTGTATGTTTCACAGCCAAAAATGACACCGACTTGGTTTCTTCGCAGGTAACCCAATAGCCGACGCATTTGGAGTTGTAGCGCGCGAAGACAGTGCCATCCTCGCCCTGGCTGATGGGGTCAACTGGGGGGAGAAGGCCAGTATAGCCGCTAGGTGTGCCATCCACGGGTGTCTGCATCACCTCAACACTGCGCTCTACTCCCCTGCTGCTTCACCCCCTGAGACAACAACAGTCAGTTAAATTAAGTCTGCTTGATAGGTTTTTTCTGCATCCATCCTAACCTAACCTATCTTAATCTAGCTTAACCTAACCAAACTTATCCTAAACTACCCTAACCTCACTTAATTTAACCATAGCTTACACTACTACATATATCTTATAAAATTACAAACAGTTCCAAAACTGGAGTGAGAGCAATTCACTTCATACAAATTTTCACATAATATTTTCAGAAGCTATAGGGAAATATCCAGAGCTCTTAAGATGCTCACTAATATATCGACAGAATCTGAGTTTTTATTTGAATTTCCTATATTTACCTTTTAATTTTTCTAGTAAAATAGCATAAATATGTTGATTGTAAATTGGGGGATACCTGTATACCACACTACTTTTGCGCTAAGGAATTCTCGTACAAGGGAAAGATTCCACAGAAGGGAAGCATTTGTTGCTGGTATTTATGAATTTAGAAGAAGTATAATAACATTGCAGATAAAATAGTGATGTGAAAAGTTTAGAAAATGTTTGGGGTATATGGGATAGATAGATGGATTCGTATTTATAAAGATGGAAAGATAGATAATTCTGGCCAGTGCCTCATAATTCTGGCCAGTGTATCATAATTCTTCACTCCTGTATCAAAATTCTGGCCAGTATATCATAATTTTGGCCAGTGCATCATAATTCTTTGCCCTTGTATTATAATTCTGACCGATGTATCATAATTCTTTGCCCCTGTATCATGATTCTGGTCAATGTATCATAATTCTGGTCAATGTATCATAATTCTGACCAGTGTATCATAATTCTGGCCACAATATCATAATTCCAGCCACTATGTATTATAATTAGAACAGGTTAGCAACATCGAAGAAAAATTTTAGATAAATAAATTATATACATATAAAATGTTTCTATATTTTTCCAGCAGGACATCTTCGTGGCTCTCTTACGATCATTTCACGCAGCACACAGCCTCATCCTCCAAGAAGATGGCATGCTGACCACCTTAACTGCCGCTGTAGTGGCTCCTCTGTCGAACAAGGAACAGTTTGTGGTGTGTGTGTGTAATGTGGGAGATTCGCTGGCTTATGTCTACTCTCAGAAGTATGGCGTTCGAGAGATCACACAAGGTAGGATACTCAGATCATATGAAGATTAGGCCCCCAGCTTATTTCGCCTGATTGCTAACCACCCTAATGCTAACCAAACCAAACCTTCCTAACCTAAACATACTTAGTCAAACCTAATCTCTACTAACCTAACCTGGCTTAACCCAATCTAAATGAGGCTAAGTTAAGGTAACCTAATCTAACCTAACCATCTCCTCATAAATTCCTTTGTTTCAACTGATCTTAAGCAGTTACTGATTTTTCTAAACTTTGGCCCAAAATTTCATGATACAGTACTTATCATTTTAAGATTCCTTTTCAACCAATAAATGAGAAAAGTGAATTGATCTTCATGTTCATCAGTAATGTTGATTGGTTTTAGTAAATCGAAAGCTGTTACAGTACTTAATTAATATTTTTAGGTGTATTACTGTACTGTACTGCATGTCCATGTCCAAAATGAGGCAGAAATTATCTATGGAGTAGTATGTATTGCAAATGAGTTGGTTGTACAATACCTTGTCTGTTTCATGCTCACACTTAAAAACACATGAAGTACTGTACCATTGAGTCAAATTTTAGTTATGTATTTGTGCATGTAGTATATTACAGGGTGTGTGTGTTTGTTAGTTAACATATGTTCTTTTTACATTTCAGGTTCACATGATATTTATAGTATGCGTGATATGAGAGATGCCTTAGGGGCCTTGGGCCCTGTGGATGGTCAGAATCCTGAGCTGAACAATTTGACTTGTTCTTTAACCTATTGTGATCCTGGAGACATTGTCTTTCTCACCAGTGATGGCATCTCAGATAACTTTGACCCTGTAGTTGGGAAGTTTGCCATTCCTAGGAAAGAAAAAGAAACCAAAAGTTCCTCTAGAGAATCACAGAGCACTGAAAGACCAAATTCAGGAAAGGGACCCAGGGAGCAGCAGAATGGAGGCCAGGAACCACACGGGGAAGGACATAAGTCAGAAGGAAATAAGACACAAAATTCGGCAAGAGAACCTCGAGGCAGCGGACAAGGGAGACGGAACGGTGAGAGACAACAGCCTACCCGACAACATTCTCAGCAACAGCAGAGAGGCAGAGCAAGAAGACCCCAGCAGGGAGCTAAAGAACAGCCTGCTGGACCAGGACGAGGAGTAAAACAGGTTAGAGTTTTGTAGATCTGACTGACTTCATCTCAGTGACAACTTTTGCTTGAGGAAACACACTAGTTGTCATGGTGTCCTTCCTTTCTATCCTCACTGTTGTCCATCTTTTTGTCCATCTTACACTAGATTATATGAGGTTGAAATTGTGTAAAGATGAATATTTTGGCCCATTGAGAAAATACACAGGACATTATTATTGTGTGAGCTTGTTGTACAAAAATAGGGCACAGAAGATGATGACCGCAATACTGTAGTTAGTTTCAATGACTTATTCAGTGAGTACAGATTTCATCATCATGGATATAAATGGACTCTGTCATCTCCATTGACTGTTCTGTTGTTTAGCAGTACTGTACATATATATTTTATTTTCCTTTATCATATGGCAGGAGGGGACTTGGAGATGTTAAGTGTCTCTATAACTATGCATTCATTTTATCTGAGTTGTGAGTCAAATATTTCAAGAACAAATTAACTTTTAATATTTGGTATAATGCTGCCTAATGTGGGCCTTTTGGATGAGTTTGATGATCAATTTTATATTGGGGAGTTATGGCCCTTTTTTTTGGTGAACACAATAACACTGTCAAAATGCAACAGATTTTAACCAAACTTGATAAGTGGATGTAACCTAACAAGATCTTGGTTGAATTTGGTGATCATAAGTTTTCCAAATTATGTCTTCTAGCAGAGAACTTTGATTTAATGGATTTTGCTTATGTTGGAGTTCAGTCATTACAGGAGAGAATCATGTTTTTATCAATTAATAGTGTTATCTTTCTTTATAATACTGTACTTTCTTCTTTTCATCTGACAGCCTGTAAGCAATGTCAAATCAGTGGGCGCTGGTCTTCCTGAGGATGAAGATGTCAGTACAGACCCATTTCTGCCATTGGTTGAGGCTCACCAGAGACATGAACTGACTTTATTACGAATGGAAGACCTTCTACGTTGTGGCTTAACCAGCATGGGCCCTGTCACCACTGCCCAAGGTCTCTGCTTAGAGATGGTTCACTTTGCCACTAAATTGACAGTAGCTAAACGTCGAATTCTCGAAGATCCAGACTTATACCCTTCAGCTTCGAAGGAACTCTCCCGGTCAGACCAACGCAACAGACGTAGAAAGGTTTGTATTAACTAAAGTTTTATGTTCGGACTTTCATATCTTCACACTTGACATAATGATGATGTACAGTATCTCTTTCATTTGCAAACTTATAGATGTAGATTGAATTCTGTTGATTGACAAAAATATTGCAAAACATGTATTACTAATGAATATTAATCATTTGTAACTCTTGTACTGCAGGTTTGTGAGAAGCTGGCTCTAGTACCAGGCAAGTTAGACCATGCAACAGTGGTGGCATACACAGTTGGTGCCTATCGAGAAGATGATTCTGTTGAACCAGAAGAGCCAATTAGGAAACCGATATTTAGAGCAGCTCCCCTGGCATCTCCCGACTCTACTCGCAGCTTAATATCTCAGTTGGATGAGGTCCGACCTCCAGACCTCCCAGCAGCTAGTACAAGCACTGCCATGGTGCATTCCCATAACAATGATTCAGATCCTTTGAAAAAGACAAATCAAGGATCAACTGAGGGAAAATGGGGGGAGAAGGGGGCACAGACGCCTCGCAACTCACAAAACACCTACTCACAAAATAAAGAAAACCTGAGCCCAAACACAGGTCAGGTACCTTGTAGGTCAACCCTTATTGAAACTATTGTCTGAGCTCCACATATCTGTGAACTGTATCTTCTGGTATTTTTAGGCACTTTTCTATAAAAAAAAAAGAGAGACCTTAACATTTATATATTACTTGATTAGTAAAATACATAATATTATATCCTGCAACATTCCCCATGTGAGACCTTCCTGCCTCTCTCCCTGCTGCTTTCTCTGATTTAGAGAAAGTTATTTAGAAATTTGAGTGACTAGTGAATATTTAAGTAGCTAAAGTTATGAAGTACTATATTGACATTGTTTAACAGCTCAAGTTCCACAACTCAGGAATACTTTTTTATTCCTTCATTTTATGCAGAGTCGTCTTCTGCTGTAACAAAATATGATATTAGCACAAATAGCTCTGATAATCATCATATTTCAGAACTTAACTATTTGCTACCAGAATGATTGTGAAAATACCTGTAGTTAACATCAGTGGTAGTATTGTAATCCTGTTTGTTATACAGTATTGTATATTGTATTCAAAGAGATAATATCAAGATAATTAATAAAAGCAAAGTACAGAAAAGGAAATTGCCCTATGGTGCTCCTTAGGGGATCACAAAAGGCATTGTTATAATAAGTTGTGGTCTAGAAGGTGTGTAGGTATACGTTAAGAAACTATCTGTGATGTTAGCAACAAAGATCATAAGTATATAAAAAACTATTGTATCATTGTCATTAATGAGTTATAATACCTGTACAATTAAAGAGATTATACCGTGTCAACAATGATTCATGAGTGAATATGTGGTTGATATTCTGTTCTGTTTTACGAGGTTGTTGGTCATCGTTCTTGGTCTCCCATGATGCTGTCGAAATACAATACACTGTATGTACAGTATTTCCAAGGTCAAGATGCATTGTTAAAAAAAAATATTAGATGCCTTTCACGAGGTATCACATTCATACACCATTTTGCATTTCCACAAGTCATTCCAACACATGAAATGTTAGTCTAGTCCAATTAGCACATTTCATGACACTTGCAATGCCATAATCCTTCTAGGAATACACTTTCAATTTTAATTGCTTTCACATCCATGTGCATGGCAAGAGAGATCTGAAGAATATTGTTGTGCATTGTGACTTGATAGAAACAGCATTTTCTATTAAATATTATAGTCATTCAGTTTTATAGTTTTTCCTTTTTACAAACCTTTTCCTGCTTCAGCACACAGTGGTCATAATTAAGAGAAACACAGACTCCCCATATGTTGTTCATTTAATCAAATGTCATAACAGATGTACTTTTTCACTTCATACAACTCTGCAGTAATTTGGTTATAATAATGAGTATCAACAAACTTTCCTTAATCTTGTTAATGATCTATTGTAGAAGCTTAATACATACAGTACTTTTTCTTTAAGTTTATGGTCACTATTATAAAATTCTAATGGCACATATTTTCTACCAATGGATTTGTCTGTCTGAAGGTATTTCATTGATACTCATTACAGTAATTATATTCAGTCATAATGATCATGCTGTTTTTATTTAACAATCAAAATTCAGATCTCCAAAGTCATTGTCAACAATGTGACATTAACAGGCATTTCATTTCACTTTAGGAAAAGGAATTACCGGTAAGAATAACTAGAACCAAACATGTGATATATCCACAAATGTCCGCAATCCACTGACATAAGTCCAAGAGGCATTTTATTATATGTGCAGGTCCGAACTTCAAGTAGTACAGTACTGCCACTATTTAGGGAAATTTAAAAAAAAATTCCTTGTCAAACAGCAAATATTAATTGGTTCTTGTCTACCATGAAACTGATCAGTGGTCCATGTGTATGGGCTCCCCCTCTGAGCTGAATAAAATCATCTGGTGTTACCAAAATAAAATATTAAAAGTTTCCTCCCTGTAGTGAAGGGGTTAAGAGGAACAATACTCCTGCTAAGTTTCAAAGAATTTGTAAACCCCTTCAAGAGTTACAGGTCGTGGACTTGGTGATGGTGTGCAATTCCCAAATATTCTGTGAATTGGTCTGGGATTATAAAATTAAATAATTCTCTAGATGCTGTTGTATATCACAGGTGGCAAATTTTTTTTTGATTAACCTGTAATACAGTACAGCAGTACAGTTTTATTTTTTTCAAGGACCAAATTTCCAAGGCCACTCTGGGTTTATTGATTCAGTCATATATAGTGTATTTCTGTGACCTGAGGTTTATTGCCCTGGTGTGATCAAACTGCATGACCTGTCTAGAATTATAAGACTAGTATCAATTTAGTGACAATCAGTGAAACTTTAAGGGGTGAAATATTTGTTATATGCATCATGAACAGCAGTTTATGTCACAGGGATAAAGTGGGTAGTACTGGCTGACACTTCCTCTCCTCCCACCCACCCACAAATATGATGATGGTTCTTGGAAATGTTCTTCTTGTTTATAAGGTTGTTAGGTCAGAGTTTCTCAGTACTATACTGTACTATACTGGTGTATTAGAATTTTTAGGTCATTTATATTGGGTGGGTGTCAGAAAAGGAAATGTTGCTGTAAGAGCACTTGTCTTTCTGGAGTGCCAAGTTGGACTCAAACACCTATGACGGTGTTACATTACTTAGTAAGAATATAAAAAGTTTACTTTCACCAGTGCCACCTTCACACATTTTAGTACCATGCAAATGTATGATAAATATGTGAAAATAAATAATCTGTTTTATTTTCCAAATACTGTACCAGTAATTTATCAATATGGGGATATGATATACAGGTGCTCCTCTACTTACGAACGAGTTACTCTTCTGCTCTTTAATGTTTGTTCTATCTGGAATTTTCTTCAAAATAATCCAGTCTCATCCACATTAAACACCTGTTCTGGCAGGTAACCCCCCCTCAGTGATGATGTTTGTATCTCTGAAAGTTTGTAAGTTGAACGTTCTTAAGTAGAGGAGCACCTGTATTGATATACTGTACAGTACAGTGTTCAGAATATATACAGTACTGTACTGTTCTATATATATTAGCTGAGATACCCAGCATTACCTAGCTTTGTTTTTGGCTCCTTGAATTATATAAGTACTGTACTGTATACCAGATTTCAGCTTTATATTACACCTTAACAATAATGGGATGCATATCCATGAAATATTTCAGTTCTCGACCTTCAAAACTGTAGCTGTGCACAGTGAGCATCCACACAAAGTAGCATATATAATAACACTGTACTGTACCTGCTTATAAGATCATGAACATAAAAATGTCTTACAGTTGTTTCAGTCACTGCTAAGTGTTGGGGCAGTTTCTGTTTATGCCTACAGACCCGAAGGCAGTCCCGGTGGATCAAGTTTCTAATCTGGATCATTGGAACAATTCATTGGTAGGGGTACCTGCCCTACAGCAGTTCCCATGAATACAAAAACATTTTCACCCTCCAAATTTTGATACAGTATATTGAGATAAAATATAAATAACTCGGTTATTTACAAATGTGACCATGAGCACTGAGCCGTGCATCAGCCAACACTGTCCCACCAACACTGGAGTGTCGAGTACAGCAAACAGTGTTTTAGAGAAGAAACAACAACATCTAATTATAAAGAACTTTAACAAGCAGATGGTGCCTGAGATAACACCAGAGTGAGAAATAAGGAAGGTTTACTCTGTATTCCTTTACTTTGCTGGAGACAAACTGGGTCATGGTAAAAAAGGAAGTGGCTATTTTACCATGAGTTCCTGGCTGGTCATACTGGAGGTTATGTGAGAGGGTTATGCCTCCCAGCCACTGCTGACTTCTTAGGAGTGCCACATAATCCTCAGCCCTCTGACACAGACATATAGGGTTGAGTTTTGTTACTCCATGTCTGAGATGACTGGAGACCCAGCTACACACGCTAGCCCTCCTTGGGTACTGAGTGAGCCAGGTTACTACAGTGTTGACCTTGGTGCTGACACCAATTGAGAGGATGACTTTAACTAGTACTGTCCAGAAGCAATAGGAAGGCAGCAAAGGCAGAGGACCTTAGAGACTGACAACTACAACCTCAACACCCCACGAGAGTAGAATTAAACTCCCAGTAGTAGACCACCTGAAGCCAAATATCATTGGCTGAACGAGACAGAAGAGAGACACCCAGACTCTGGCTTTCAGTTCAAGAGTTAATACACAAGATCATGTTCTACTGAAAAACGACCCAAAAATTATACGAGATCTCCTCACCAATAGCATAGAGGAATAACCATGGAATAACCATCCCAACCATAGAGCTAGAAAAGAATCCCGATATTAGAAGGCTGAAGCAACTCAGGGGCAAGAACGCAGTCATTTCTAACAGGATTGACTCTGGGGACCTACCGGAGACCCTTCGCATCCATGGTGCCTATTGGACTGAAGGTAACTCTATCAGCCTCCTACTCGGAGGTGTTAGAATTGTCAGCACCAAGCCGTGGTGTGGTCTCTGCTCATGACAACATACAATGCAGGTTTGTAGAGATAAAGTTTATCAAGGGGGAACCATTCAACAGAGGTGTATAAACTGCAAAACAGATGTGGTCCCTGTGTGGCACCCTGGCTGTCCTAAGGCTCCTACACCCCTCAGCACCCAGGCAGGCCTCAAGAAACACTACTGCTACAAGGGAACCCCTACAGCCAACCCCCCGGCCCACCCTCCCCTCCAAAGCTCCAGGATCATCACCAGCAGTCAACACAAGATCAGCATGGGGCAACACATGTACTATATTAACACAACAAGTAGCTGCCAACACACCCCATGAACACAAACAAAATGAAGAGATTAATAATTTCAAAAATGAAATTACAGATCTCAAAGCTCAATTAGCAGCTCAAACTGATACATTGAATAGCATCTGCGATACAATACAGAAACAGAACACCAGCAACATAAAGCAGTAATGGAAAGATTACAATCTCATTGAAAACATTCAAATGTCAGTACAGTACCAGATGTGGAAAATCAACAGCCATCAGGATCTCATGTCCAAGCAGAGGAAAACAGTAGTGTTACTAAGGCTCCTGTGGTCATACACACTGAAGATGAACAGATAATTGTGGTGATGTAGATTGTGACCATAGTGTGTGCGAGTCAAATGATGAAATGCCCTGTACAGTTCTTCAACTGATGACTAGTATATGCTGAAGAACTATTTCTAAGAAACTAGGGCTCCTCCTGCCTAAGGTGCAAACAGAAAAATATATCTTAAATTCTCTGCAACTTCTTTCCAAATATCGTACATAATGGCTAGTGTTAATACAAGACAGAGAGGTGATGGTGGTGAGTTGGAACATCTCATCACTCAGAAAATGATACCCTGACCTACACCAAAGTTGTAACTGAGCACATCAATATTGTGTGTCTGCAGGAGAGTCTCACACCTAATGGTAAGCTCCCACTCAGTCTACCCAACTATGTGTATTATGATCCTAGTTCTACTCGCACATGATTGATGCATATTAAGAAATCACCGCCACATATACCCATTGTATCAAAAAAGACTACTAACTTTCAGTACCACCTGGGTAACTCTACACTCAATGTGCTAAATGTCTATGCTCTATCAGATCACCTAAAATTCACAGATCTCCCAGACTTTGTACACACTGAACCTACTGTCCTGATTGGTGACCTGAATACTAGACCCAAAAATTGAGTGACACCGCCACATTCCGAGACAAGATCTCAGCGAGACCAGCCATGCTACTTATTTGGGAGCAGGTGAAGGCTGTGAGGGTCTATCCTCCACTTTCACCCCTCCTGAGAAGCTGAACCTCCTCATCCAAAAGTGTTTTTTTTTTACTTCTTCAGATATTGAGGGGGTTACTAAGGTTGTCCTCCAACTGAGTGGTGGCATTATGGTCACCTATGGTGACTGGGGACAGGATGAACAACTTAGCAATGTTAAAGTCATCAATGACGGCCCCATTAAGGTGTGGGGAGCTATTTCCCATGCCAAAATACAACATATGGACAGGAATTATATTAAAGAACTCATCGAAGAAGAAATAGACGTGCGACGAAAAATGAAGAGACCCGAAGGAAAATCCACCTCAGCTCTAGTTGGATTTTTCCACAAACTTCCAGAGAAGGTTACACTGGGATGGAACACAGTCTGAGTGAAACCTTATGTACCTCGACCAACCAGATGCTTCAGGTGTCAACGGTACAGTCACCCACCCAAAAATTGCAAAGCCCCAGAAGACGTGCGCTCCAGATGTGTGTCTTCTGGACACCAGCATGATGACTGTAAGATTGAGAACAAGAAATGTACTGCCTGTGGTGGTCCTCACTCATCCTCTGACCAGAAGGGTCCCAAATGGAGGGAAGAGTGTAGGACAATACAGGGTAAAGGTGAAGCACACCAAGAACCTCTCCTACAAGGATGTACTTCTCTTGTGAGGAAAACCAGCAAGAAAGACCACCCAGAACCTGAAAACTGTCAAGAGCAAGAAGGAACAGACCAAGAACCATAAGAAGACTCAGAACAAGAAACAGAAGATGAAGTAGAATGTAAAGAACAAGAAGAACATCAAGAAAATGAGCAAGAGAAAGGAAGGAAAGACGTTAACAAGAAGAAGAGAAACAAAAGGAAGAGGTATAGTAAACCAGACAACATTACCATCGGCCAGTAATTTATATGATGAAGAAGACCCCACCAGTAACACCAATGGTAGGAGACTTATCTCACTTCTCAGTGTATATGAAGATGTTAGGTTAGGTTGTGACTCAACGTAATGGTAATAAAACTGAGAACGGAGTTAGAATTAACAACTGGGCATCCATTCTACAAACTGAATTAGTTGCTGTACTCACAGCCATTAAATTTATTGAAATCACTGTCACTGACAGTCTCGTCATCACTGATTCTCTATCCTGCTTGTCCTTGACACCTTCAACTTAAGTTGTCATGCACTTGTCTGTGAAGCCAGACACAAATATGTGTACCTTGTTGACGGGGGTGTCAAGATCAAACTGTTGTTGATCCCCCCTCATATAGGCCTCGCCAAACTCATGTCTAACAAAGAAACTGTTGAATACAATCTGGATCTGTCAAAAAGAACCCTTAAAACTGTAACTAGGAAAGAACTTATTGATGAATTTGATGCAAGCAGGCATTAGTCAATCCACTGTTTACTATGATGAGATGTATACAAGTGAAACATGTGTATGGAGCAAGTAACAAGATCACTATGTCATGGTCACGTTGACTGCTGATCTATTTAACTAATGATTCTTATTAAACTCCACGTCCGCAAAACATGAGTGAGTTAGCGACCCCTGAGAAGACGTGTTTTTCCCCATACACGCTACACTTGTGTTCCCTCCCAGAGTCCCGCCTTTGTGAAGACAGTTGTCAATGCATTGTTATTCCACTTTCTCCTGGGAAGCTCAATCTTGAATTAATCTGTGTAAATCAACTCAAGTAATTCGCCAGACCTTTGTCAACTGAGGGTCATCTTTGAATGAGTAACAGTTAGTTTGTTTGTAATTATTGTCATTGCGTGAGTAGCGATCCCTGGCAACTCAGGGGTATATATATATACCCCAAGATGAGCCAGGGAACAAGACAAGAAGGATACGACATACGTCGAAATAGCAAAGAGAGCGGTCCAAGAGGCTCATAGACCAGAATCCACCATATTAAACCTAAGTGAGCCAATACATGATAAGGTAATGATTAGTATGATCCATGCAC